TGAATTGTTGGGTTGATTTGGAGGATATCAGGATGAGTTTTCGTAAAGAGAGTCATTATTATTACAATTGCTATCTCCTTTGTTTTCTTTGCCGCTACAAATTCTGGATTTCTGCAGCATAGACTTGGAGACAGACCCACACCCATTCTCCTTAAATAAAGCACTTTATGAAACATCAGATCGAATTCTCTCCGGTGGGGATGCCTTGCTCTGTGAGGCCTGGCTGGCTGGAAAGAGGCCCGCAGGCAGCCAGAACTGGAGTTGAAGTTTCATCTCTGGTTTTAACTCTGGCCCTTTGAGCGAGCTTAACACGTGTGGATTTAATTTCCCTTTCTTTCTTGCTTCCTTTTCTTTCCCCCCACCCCCACCTTGTGAGGGAACAAGAAAAATAGTCTGCTCTGTCGACAGCGCGACACTGTTCCGTTTGCCAAAGAAAATTTGTCTTTCCTGAGTCCCAGAGAGCAATGGGCTCCCAGGTTTCCAAGGAGCCCTTCAATTGAGGTAGAAGGTGTCCAGACAGGCCCCCCACCTTCACCCGAGACCTGGACATATCAGTCCGAGTCTCTCTCTTACAGGGTTACAGACCTGGAATGCCGTCTGTTTCTTCCCCCTACCCCAAACATTTTGGGAGATCTATCAGTGGGTTTTGACCTGCAGGATGGTTGGAGTTCTCAGGCTCAGTGTGACCCTGGAGGGACTCCATGATCTCCCCGCTGGGACCCTCACCTTTCTAGGCTGGGCACTTCCCAAATTGGAGGAAATAAGACAGTGGCATCCTTGTGTCCAAGCACCACTCGCTTCCACCTTTCTGCTCTTTGAAGTGTGTACATTTTTAGCATTGGGATCCTTCTCAGCTGGGCCTCGAAATGATATCCCCTCTTCCAGTTCTCATTTCATTACCCTGAACAGGAAAAACAAAAAGCAAAAACAAAGCAAAACCCAACAGCGACAACAACAACAAAAAACTTGGGAGAGTAACGAGGACAATTATTATCTAAAGCACACGAAGCAACACTAACATGAATGAGGATAGTAGCAATAATAATTCTTGGTGGAAATATTGGAGGAGAGTATTGGATATTCAATAATCATAACAATAACAGCCAGTATTCTTCCCGCATACTTCCGGTCAGAAGTGGGGAAACCAGCAACCGAATAAAACATTGGGAAGAGACATACTGTGTTCCTGGAAAAAATATAACAGAGCCAGATTGAACTGGGTGAGAGGGAAAGTGACCCCCTTGAGAAACCAGGGAATGTCTCACCCTCAGACCAACCCTTTCTTTTGCAAATTGAGTTGGTCAAAGTTTACTTTTGTCATCATTTCTCTTGTTATAATTCTTATTCATTTTCCCAGCCCCGTCCACACTTCTATTTTTCACCACCCCACACCCCCAAGTTGCCACCGGGTCAGGTGGGGACATATCGGGAGAGAAATAGACAGTGATGCATTTTAAAGTGAGTTCTCTTTTGAGAGAAAAACAATGGGTAGTTTTGGATGTGTCTTTCTTAAAAACGGAAGGAGCAAGTGAAGAAAAAAATTATCAACAGCAATCGGCCCCTTTGGTTTGGGTTTTGACTTTTTAAAGAGGAACCTCTGCTGTCCTGTTGCAATATTAAAATCGGGGCAGTAATTTTGCAAAACGAGAAAAATAAACTTTGGGAGAAAACCCAGCTGGGAACAGGTTCGGGAAAGCGACAGTTCTCCGAAAGGAGGAAGGGAGGATGCGCGCTGTAGCCGGCTCCGGAGTTTACTGCCCAAACGATTAGGCAAAAGAACGAGGATTCTCAAACCTAGTTGCGATCTCTCGTCTCTCCTTTATTCTGTTCGTGGTGCGGGCTCCGGAGCGTCTGGGAGAGCCATTCTGTGAAGCTGGACTTGTAGAAACCTTTGAATGCCGGTCCAGGTGGCTGCAAGGCCCGCGGTCCGGGATGCCAGAGAAAGGAACCACACGGAAAAGTCGCTACGCTCGGAGTTTCGCCTTTCCCTTGCAGCCCCGGCGGGGCCTAGGCCTCGGTTTCCGGCCCGCCTCGGCTCAGAGGTCAAATAGGAACTTATCTCATCGAACTAGGGTTTGAGAGAAGGATTTCAAGTTGCGTTCTAGGCATCTGGGAGCAAACGCTGCACCGAACGAGCCTCGGATTTGGGAAAATATCGTTATTAACAACTTGGGAAACGAAAGCGAAGCTCGGGACAGCCACTGCAGCCTGGCCGAGAGAAAGGACGCGGGTTGTGCTCTCTGGAAGCAAAGGGGTCTGCAGCCCAGCTGGCCTGGGAGCTCGTGGCCAGCGCTGGAAGCTGCCCGCTCTCCCCACGGGCCTGACCTTGGCTCCCGCAGCAGCTCTGCCGGCCGACTGCCTCCCTGCACATTTTGCTGCCGTTCCAGTCCCGAGCGGAACGGGCCTGGAGCCAGGCCATGCTTTGGAAAGCCCTGGGGGGTAGGGACGCGCAAAACCCAGGATCGAGCCCCGAAGCTGGGGGCAAGCCCAGATTCAGACGTCCGGCTCCCTCAGGACCCCTTGACGGGGAACTTACCCTTCCGGAAGGCCCGACGCTCTCCGGCTCTGTGCTGGGCAGGCCTAGCTCTTCTCTCGGCGCCACCAGGGGCGTCTACGCGGTACGTTCTGCAACTGAATCTAGTGGACTTCCAGCGGTGCGCAAAAGTTTGCGCGCATCCACCGCTGGACTGCTTAGAAATTATGCTCATTGATCGGACTAAAAATAATAGTTGTCGTGATTACAAAACAAAATAGAGTGCCTCGTGCCTCGGCGGGCCCTGGTGCTATAATTATTCTCTACAGAAATCACCTGTCTCCACTCCCACCCCTACTCCACCACCCACTCGCACCCCGCCCCTGCCGGGCCACTGTGGGACGAATTGCATTCTTGGACCTTTCTCTCAGCAAGACACATTACGGAGAACTCCCTCTGTCTCGTGTCCCCTCCACGACAACCCAGTAATTATTTCTATGCAAGTCTGCAGGAGGACACTCAGTTATTGCATCCCAAGCCTAACCAGCTAGAGCGGCGCCTCGATATTCATTTGCCAAGCGCTCCTCCGCGGGCTTTTTGTTTTGTTTTGTTTTGTTTTGTTTGTTTGTTTTTTTATAATAAGGATCCCATGCCTTATGCAAGAGATCTCAGTCCCCCGGAACAACTCGATTTCCTTCCAATAGAGGTCTGAGGTGGACTCCCACCTCCCTTCGTGAAGAGTTCCCTCCTCTCCCCCTTCCTAAGAAAGTCGATCTTGGCTCTGTTTGTGTCTTAGGTTCATCACCCTCATTTCTCCGGAGAAAGCCGGGTTGGTTTATGTCTTTATTTATTCCCGGGGCCGAGACGTCCGGGACTTGTGGCTGCGCAGACCCGGCACTGATATGCGAAGACGGAGAGAAATTAACCTCCCGCCGCTGCCCCCCAGCCAAGCGTGACAGAGCGCGGGCCGGTTGCGTGACTCGTGACGTCTCCAAGTCCTATAGGTGCAGCGGCTGGTGAGATAGTCGCTATCGCCTGGTTGCCTCTTTATTTTATTGGGGTATACCTGGTAATAAACAGTAATATTTAATTTGTCGGAGACCACAAACCAACTTTGAGCTGGGAGGTACGTGCTCTTCTTGACAGACGTTGGAAGAAGACCTGGCCTAAAGAGGTCTCTTTTGGGGGTCCTTTTCGAAGTCTTCACCTGAGCCCTCCTCTTCAGCGAGGCGCACTCCTGGCTTTTGCGCTACAAAGAAGAGGTGGGATAGTTGGAGGTGAGTTTCGCCCTGGAGGACTAAGGGGGGAAATAGGTTTCTCTTTGCACTTGGCCCTCCTTGGCTTTTCACCCCGTCTTGATCTTGCTGAATCTTCCCTCGCTGTGCTGCTACTTTTCATGAACAAAATAAGAATGGTTTCGTGTGTCACCTGGCAAAAATGGATTCTCTCGAAAGGTTTGAAAATCCCTATTTTGCTTGGTGGCCGAGACCATCTGTGCTCAATGAACTAAGCAAATCTGGCTAGGCTATTACCTGGGAGAGTCCAGATTTTTCCTCTCTGGAGGGGCCTGAAGATTATTTATGGGAATCAATTTTATCCCCAAATCTCTGAGAACTTAAAGGGATTGGGGAGGTCTTTCTGGATTTCCCTTTCCCTCTACCGGAGATGTAGTGGTTCAGCCTCCTTCCCATACTATGTTTGTTTTTTGTGTCTTCAACCTAGCGTCGCCTTATTAGCAAGCCCAAAGGCCTCCAAGCTGACTTGGAGGGTGAGGGTGTTTTCACAAATAAATAAAACGCCTGGGCAAAGATCTGTTTGCAAACAAACCTGGAGGGTGGAGTGAGCACCATAGCAAAGGAGGGTTGGTTTCTCCCTGGTTGCCCCACATTTAGGGTTGGAGATTCTCCACTTTGGCATTTTGCAGCAGTGGCCTGGCCTGGGATTTTAGCATAGCAGCCACAGAGGGTTACACAACTGCTGATCTCGGGCATTTCTCCTCCCTCCATCCCTTTCTTCAGACCTTGACTTGCAGGCCCAAGTCTCTTATCAGAACCCTAGAAAAATCAGGATGATGGGGGTACAGGAGGTAAGGATGGGAAACAGAACAGGACTCCTGACATTTACTCCAAGCACCCATATTCGGTGTCCCAATCTGGGTCTGCTCAGACTGAGACCTACTGACTGTGTTTATGCTTTTATTGACCTCTTCAACTCACCCTAAAAAAAAAAAAAAAAATACATTTCAGAGAGGGGAAGGGCAAGGAGAGGAGACCAGTGGAGATGAAAACCCTCCCCAGTCTCCAGTGACTGTTTGATTATTTTAATAAAACTGGGCACTGCCTTGTGTACACCTGGAGCAGGGGAGGTCTGGTGGCCCCACTGGGTGGGGGTGGGGGCCCGCAGCGATTTCTTGGCATCTTTGATCTCGGCCCCCATCCCAATGCACCTTCACCCTGCCTTCACCCTAGAGTCGTTGAGAGTAGGGGTGATGAGTAGGGGGTGGAGGGGAGATGTCAGAAAGGCGAGCGCCGGCCAGGCGGGGTCAGGCAGCTCTCCTTCTCGAGGTCAGCGTTGGAGAGAATGTCTGCAAGGCTGCGGAGGCCCGGGGTGTGTTTGTGTGTGTGCGTCCAGACTCGGTTCTCTGCACCGCCAGCGTCATTGAGATTACTTCCCGGTTAGAAGCCGACCGAGTTTGGAATGATTTGTGCAGGAGTTTTTGCAGCCACCGCTTGCTCAGAGAAGCAGAGATGGATGGAGGTTGGGAAAGGGGTAGAGAGGAGGGAGTTATTGCAGGTCTGGGTTGTGAGTCGTTTGTGATTTGAGTGTTCGGGAAATCTAGTGGAAACGTTGTGGGGGGGAAGGGAGGACCGGAGGGTGGGAGGGAGAGAGAAGGGGGAGGGCGGCAGAGTGCAGTGGGATCTAGTTGGATAGGCGATTTCAGTACTTTGTGAGCATCGAGGCAACCCAACGTCACTGTGCTCAGCTGAGTTGGCTTGTATTTCAGAGAGAGAGAGAGAGAGAGAGAGATAGAGAGAGAGAGACTGACTCTTACCTCGAATTCGGGAACTTTAATCCTGAAAGCTGCGCCCAGAAAGGACTTCGACCATTCACTGGGCTCCCAACTTTCCCTCCCTGGGGGTGTAAGGGAGGAGCGGGGCACTGAGATTATATGGTTGCCGGTGCTCTTGGAGTCTATTTTGTGTTCTTTGGCGCTTGGCAACTTGGAAGTATTTAGCGAGAGCAAGCGCACAGCGGAGGAGGTGTGTGTTGGAGGGGGGCCGTCGCCGCGGAGGCTCCAGCGGTAGGTGCGCCCTAGTAAGCAGCAGTAGCCGCTATTCTGGGTACGCAGTAAACTCCGCATAAACCCCGGAGCCACCATGCCTGCACCCCCGCCTCGCCACCGGCTTCCCTGCTAGGAGCAGCAGAGGATGTTGTGAATGCACCGGCTTCACCGAGAGAGGTAACCGTCCCGGCAGATGGCCCAGGAGGCTCAGGAGGGAGCTAGTCGGCCGAGTCGGCTGGGGCGGCGGGAATGGCGGATTCAAGCCTGGCTTTGCATTCTGCAGAGCGCAGCTTGTAGAGATTTTGCGCGACTCGGAGCTCCGCGGAGAATGGAGTCCGGGAGGCCGCCGCGGCTGGCGGAGCGGCATTGAGATTTGCAGGAAGCACGGCCTGGTTCTGTCAAACCGCATCTTGTTCGTCTCCGCCAGCCTGGAGCTCCCCGGGACCCTGGCGAGGGCGCGGGGTAGGATTCTCCCCGCGGCCGGCAGTGAATGGGAGCGCGTGTGGGAGCACCAGCCCTGCTTTCTTTTGTTGTGAGTAGGCTGCGGAGCTCCAGTCGCCGCCTCCCTGAAGCCCCGAGGAAGAGGCGAAGAAAGCTGCTTGCGAGTCAGGCCTCAGAAGCTGTCCTTCTCCTCGGCCCCATTTCTAGATCTCTGGCCACTGCAGATCAGGGTGGGATCTGGTCCCTTGCTTAAGCAGCTGCTAAGGTTTTGGGGGACCATCGCTTGTGCCGGCCTCCGAAAGTCTTTCCGTTTTAGGGGGAATTCCTACTTGAGTATAGAGGAGATTGGAAGGAGATCAGAGAGCAGGAGACAGGCTCATTGGGCTTGAACAGCTCTGTGGCTGTTATTTTGTGTGTTCTAACCTCATACGCCTGCAAACCCTGGCCGTTCTGTTCATTGCGGGGACCCGGGCCGCAGATTCAATGCCTCCAGCCTAGGACTTATCCGATAATGACTTTGTCCTCGCCAATCCTGAGCCTGGGCCTGCAGTTTTAGCAAGCCAGGCCTGCAGTTTTAGCAAGCCAGGGTTTCAGAGAAACCCCCTTCAGCCTGGTCACTCCACAAAATGCCCGCCATCCCCGGCCCGGCTGCAGAGCGCTGGTGGCGGGCACCCAGTGACGAGCCTCCCTCAGAACCGCTGCACGGTGGCTTTCTTCATACAGTCTTCTGTTTGGCTACTTTTTATCTTTCAACGAATCTTACTTAAGGTTGGGGTAAAGAAAAGGACTTTTACTTTTAAAAGACTTTTAATGTTAGGCCTGTAACTGATAAAAGATGTATGTGAATTCTCTTTTGAACCTAGTCTCAATCTGCATAACGTTCCCCTCTCCTGTGTTTTTGTTTTTGTAAGAGGCGGGTTATTTCACACATATTTGCCTGCTGCAGGAAACTATTCCTCTTGTGAGGTTTAATAAAAAGAGTTCCGACGGCATCTTGTAATTTGGCGAAGAAAGAAATTCTCTAAAGGACACTGGGTTTTTGTTTTGTTTTGTTTTTGGTTCCTACCCAGTGGCTTCCAAAAATACCCACGCCTTATCTTTATTGGCTCTTCCAGAAGTCCAGACAAATTTGACGGGCAGCTTGCTTATCACGGAGAGCCTGCGCAGGGGAGATGCGGGCCTGCCTCCTCCGGGTCTGACGCGGGTCTTTTGCAAGAGGTTGTGCCTGGTCATAAAGTAATAGTAATAATACTAGGAATAATAGGAATAGTAATAATTCTAGGGCCTTCTGCAGTCTCCTTTAGCTGGGAACGGAGGTGCTGGTAGCTGGAAACTGGGGGCCAAACTGCTCCCTCCTGTCACTAGAACTGTGCTCTCCAACCTTTCTCTCGTTCTCTCTCTCCTCCCCACCCCCATCTTCCCCTGCTTCTTGTCCTCAGAGCAGAACCTTGCGCGGGCACAGGGCCCCGGGCGCACCATGGCCGACGCAGACGAGGGCTTTGGCCTGGCGCACACGCCTCTGGAGCCTGACGCAAAAGACCTGCCCTGCGATTCGAAACCCGAGAGCGCGCTCGGGGCCCCCAGCAAGTCTCCGTCGTCCCCACAGGCCGCCTTCACCCAGCAGGTAAGGAGACCTCGCGCTTCGGGTCCCTTTGCAGAGATCGAAGTCAGAGTCTGGCTTCCTTGCTCAGCTCCTCTTGCGGGGACAGAACAAAAACAAAAATAAAAAGCAAAACAAACCCACCTACTGTAATCATCCCCTTTCCTTTTTATTCCCACTCAGTTCCACCTTTCTCTGCCCTGTCTCCTCAAATACTAGAGTATTGTCTTTCACTTTATTGTGACGGTTATCTTTACAAAGGATTTTTGAAATCTACTTAAATTGTTCGACAAATCTCAATTATCCGGCTGTTTGGGGTCAGTTAACAATGGCCTAGATAATTCCTTTCCCGCTGCACTACTTGTAGAATCGGCCCTCAGCATCTTAATAAGGGCCAGGTCAGCGGCCGCTTCAGGCCGGCATGAGCGATGGCTTGACCCCTCTTCTGATCTCCCGTAGCCTTCGCCTCCTCCTGCCTCCTCCTGCCTCCTCCGCGCCGCCGCCTAGACCCGCGCGCCCCACCATTTGTCTTGCGGTCAGGGCCTGGCTGGCTGGCGCGCCATCACCGGCCGCTGGGAGCGCACAGGGCTCCGCCCGGAGGGCACCAGGAGCCTCGGGTTTGCCAGGCTACCAGCTGGGCCCGGGCAGAGGGAGGAGCCTCACCTTGCGCTCTGCGCCCCAAACCCGGGACGCACTGGGCGCTCAAGTAGGCCCCTCAGTAGATCCCAGTGATTTTTAAATAAGGTGTCACGGGGGTGTGAAACGAGGTGACGACCAGAAGAGACACTTGCACATAGCTAAAACCCTGCTTGGGATTTCGATGTCCTTCCTGGGTTTTCCCGGCTTCTTTCTTTGGCCTTTAAGTTTCAGGAAAACGTGTGTATATTTGTAGAGAAGCAGAGCGTGAACACAGTTTAGGAAACTTACAGATTTTTTTTTTCTTTTAAGGAAAAGCAAACCCACTTTTTAGACTGTTGCAAATTATTCCAAAATGAAGAGTGTGTGTGTGTGTGCGCGCACATATGTATATATGTGTATATATGTTTATACTTGCATCGGTTCTCTAAATGTAGTTTTAGCCGAAAGCCAAAATGTGAAATGGCATCAGGTCTGCCCTATAATCAAAATAGCTGGATGTGGATAGAGCTACTTGCAGGGAGAGCCTGGAGGGTTTGTTAATATAGATATTTAGGATTAATTTTCATTCTGGACTGTGAGACCATATGATAATATAAGCATTTTAAGTTTAAAAATTCATATATGTTCATTTTTGTACCCCCATGGCCGAGAATAAGCAAGTATTTGTATATCTGTATGTTTGGTGTGTGGGCATCTGAGCATCTACATAAGAATATTCTGAGTGGTTTTCTAGATTAGGTTTCTAGTTTTTCTAGGTTAGGTTTTTCGTTTGTTTGTTTTTGTTTTTGTTTTCATTTCCCTGTATCTCAGGTGAAGTGGATTGAAATTGGCTCTGGTTTTTCTTGGTTTGTTTGGTTGGTTTTTGCTTATTCTGGTCCTCCTCAGTGACATTCCAAAGCACCCTGATGGTGGGTGATCATTCCATAGCCTTGTGCTGGTGTCATTAGAAGGAGACAATACAGCACCGTGGGTTCAAGTGGTTGGTGCAAACCTCAGGGACTCAGCCTACATAGGGATCCCTGGGCAGAGGCTATTGGGTGCTCCAGATAATTCTGCAGTAGGCTGAGGCCACTTTTTACCCTCTGAGACCACAGGCTCCAGTGGGAAGGAGTCGTCGTCTCTGTGTTTTGGGGGAGTTTGGGGAAGGAATGCCCACTACCGCCAGGGCTTGTCAGTGTGACTTTTTTCTCCTTCTTGCAGGGCATGGAGGGAATCAAAGTGTTTCTCCATGAAAGAGAACTGTGGCTGAAATTCCACGAAGTGGGCACGGAAATGATCATAACCAAGGCTGGAAGGTGAGATGGTTAGTTGTGTAGGAGAGGGACGAGGAGAAATTGCGGGAGAGGTGAAGAAGAAAAGGTGGCTTGGAAGAGAAGAGGGAAGGAAAGGGGCAATAGGAGAGGGAACACAGAGAAAGAAGAAAATAGAGGAGGAGGCTGGGAGAGAGAGAGAGAAAGAGAGAAAGATAGATCCTGGTGAGAGAGGCCCAGGGAGATTCCTCCATTGATCTCTCCTGGGATGGAAGAAATACTCCAAAAGTTCAAGTCCGGAAACTGGGCATTTCTCCCACCTCACATATAAAAAGAATAAAGAGCTTGGGAGGCCGTGCTATCTGGATTCGTAATGAAGGAAAGAGAGAAGAGGGAAAGGAAAAAACAGAAAACAGAGACCCAAAGAAGACAGAGTCTAGAAGGTCTTTAGGTTTCAGGGGTCTTGGACTTTTTCTTTACTTCCACACTCATTCCCACCCTCCCTGACCATGGAGTGGTTCCAGGGTCCCACCCGACTGTCAAACTCTGAATCGTTGAATGTATTCGCTACCTCTTTCATTGTTTATAGAAAGCTGGCGAAGCCTTTGAAACTGAACCGGGGCTCGGCCGGGCTCTATATACAGACACCGATAAACACAGCAGCTTCGCCAAGACACTCGCCCCGGAGTTCCCCCTTAAAAGCTCGCAGAGTTTTAGCTAGAAATGCTAGACTTCTGGGGGAGAAGGAGGGAGAGTGGTGCAGCTCTATATGTCAGTGTGAGTGTGTGAGTGTGTGTGTGTACGCGCGCGCCCAGGTCTGGGGACGTCCTAGCCACATCCCTTTCCATGCTGGACTGGTCTTTCGCGTCCCGCAAAGCAAAAAGCCAGAGGATGTCCCGAGCAGGCGTGTGGAGCAGGCGACCGGTAGGCCCAAGCCACCGAGTGTGTGAAGGCGGAGGGTGGAGCCGCCTTTCCAGACGACCCCCCCGCCCCCTTTCTCCAGCCGAAGCCTCCCTCAATAAACTGACAACAGTGACATTTATTATTATTTAAAATTAAACAAAGTCTGCTCCCCGCTCGGCCCAAGCCCTGAGTGAACTAGGAGGCGCGTACTGTTTATATCAACGAACTGCAGTCCTCTTCCTAGTCCCCCAGGAAGGAAAGACACGGCCGAGTCCCTCTTTCCCCCAGCCGGAGTCGTGAGGGTTTAACTATAAAAGGCCTGCGAAGTCTTCTGCGCCTTCGCCTCCGGGCGCACTCGCTGGGGCTGATAAACACCGCGAGGCTTTGGCTGCAGGGCTCGGAGGGAGAGGCCTCCATTCGACCCTTCCCGTCATCGCTGAGTGAGCCCAGATCTGCCAACTTGTCTTTTCCCCCCAGGCCAGCCTTAAGAATCTTTGCTTTCTGGGACATGCTCTTTAGAAGGTGGAGGGAAATTTGGAGTGCGCCGGGGGGTAGAAAGGTAGCAGAGACGGCACAGTTCCGGGCCATCGGCTTGCTAACGACTCGATCTTAGTTCAGGCCTCAGCTTTTTCTGAAACCAAATCTGGAAGGGTCTGGAATTTCTTTGCTGAAGGCCACGGAATTTCGACTCTCCAAAGAAGAGTGTCAGGCCCCTTGGAGAAATTGTGGGGGCATTCAGGAATAAACTGCTAGAGACCAGTATCAGAGGTCATTAACCGAGCTATACTGGGAACCGCGGCTTAACCCCTCCTCCAGGGGCAGAGGACCAAAGCCAGGTCGGGAAGCCTGTGCGCACCCACGCGTGTGCGTCTCTGGGGCGCACACACCTTGCGTACACGTGACACCTTAGCGCCGTGAGGATCGGCGGAAGCACCTGGCTAGACCGATCCTCTAGGATCGGCGCCTAGCTTTGTACCTAATAAGCCTCCTCTCCCCACAAATATTAATAGTAGGTGTCTGGCTCTGAAAAAGGCAGTTAGCAAGAGCTGAAATGGAGGTCCCTTTGAAGCATCTTCAAAACCCGTTCTCTAAAGGCGCATGCGTCCTGGTTTGTTTTCCTGTTAGGATACCTACAGTTGCCCGCCTGCTGTTTTCTCCTCCCTTCGCCTTTCTCCTCCTTATAACTTCAAGGGAAACCCGGGATGGATCTTGCGGTGAGCGGAACGGGGCTATTTTCCGCTTCCACGTTTCTCCAGGAATCGCTTTTTCCATTAAAATGGATGGAGGCTGCCTTCAAATATTGGCATTAATTCCCGCCCCCCTCTCTCCCTCCGTCCCTCTCTCTTAGGCGGATGTTTCCCAGTTACAAAGTGAAGGTGACGGGCCTTAATCCCAAAACGAAGTACATTCTTCTCATGGACATTGTACCTGCGGATGATCACAGATACAAATTCGCAGATAATAAATGGTAGGCACTGGGTTGGCAGGTGGAGCGGGGAGAGAGAAAAGTGGAATCTTCTCCCGAGAAGTTGAATCAGTGAACATTTTGTTGTTGTTGTTCCTACTGTGCGCTAAAGGCGTCTGTCCGCCTATCCCATTGCTTTTTACTAACCATTCTCAGACGAAGAAACTGCAACCGTTAGCTCGGGTTTTCCAGATGAGAAAACGGAGGCTCAGAGGAAGTGAGGTGCCTGTGTCTGTCGCTGCACCCCTAGGTTGTGGATTTTTACAAAGGGTATTGTTACCAAGTGCTGGAGGTATTTCTGGGGCATAAAACCATTTACAGTTATTTTTTATGAGTTACCTGCTTTGAACATGCATTTTTATGAAATTGCAAAATCGGCTCGTGGTATTCAAGTTAAACAGTTAAGAGAGGAGAGGCCCATTTCTTGGGTAGAATTGTTCCCATGGCTGCCAGCAGTGCAGGGGCCTGACGATGAAGTCCCTGTTGAAAGCCCTCAAGGAATTTTCAAGGTTTTTTGCACGTCCAGACCTCCAGAACCCACCACTTGTTTGTGGGATGCGAGAGGCTGTAAGAAGAAAAGGCTGGGCCAGGGGCTTGCCTGGACCCAGGCACCAAGTACGCTGGGGCACCTGGGATTGCAGATACCTAAGGGAGACGGGAGGGCCTTCAGATTATTTCCAGCTACTACTCAAGAACCTTCACCTGGTGCGTGAACTGAAGCACGCTTCGGTGCAGTGCGCTACCTCCAGACTCTGAGCCAGGCCTGTAGTCACACCTTTCCTTCATCTAGGTCTGTGACCGGCAAAGCTGAGCCCGCCATGCCCGGCCGCCTCTATGTGCACCCGGACTCTCCCGCCACCGGGGCGCATTGGATGAGGCAGCTCGTCTCCTTCCAGAAACTCAAGCTCACCAACAACCACCTGGACCCATTTGGGCATGTGAGTACTGTGGCCTGGATTCCACGCTTTGTCTCCCTCTTGTCCTCTCTCCCTTCTTCTCACTGGGTTTCTCTCTCTTCTTGGCTCTGTGTGCCCACACTTCTCCTTTTCTTTCCTCCATTTTCCCCCACTTTCGTCGCTTTCTGCCTCTACCTTCTTGATCTGGACTTCCTTCCTCTTCCTTTTCCTCCCCTCTGTCTCATTCCTTCTCTCATTCATTTCTGTTAACTTCTTTCACCTTCTCACTCGCTTTCCCTTTACTTTCTTTTTCTTCCTGCTACTTCATCCTCTGTCTCCACTACTCTCCTACGAAGATATCTGCCCCTCCGCAGTCCTCCCTGTGATCCACACTCCCCAAGTCTGGGTCTGTAGCTCCTTGGCAGCCGGAGATATGGCCCCCAGCTCACCTGGTCTGGGACTGCATCCTTGCCGCTAGGGCCCAACCCCTCTCCCTTTGCCTAGAGATGGAGGAATGACTAAAGCTGCTCATTCCAGGCCTGGAGAGTCTGTGAATTCGATCTGTGGTTAGGAGTGGAGGGCTGTGTTTCAGTCTTGCAGAAAATATGGACCCTCTAGCCCAGTGGATACCCAGTATAGACTGCACAGAGGCTGGACCACAATGAAAGCCATATACCTTCGCTCCCCACTTCCCAATCCTGCCTTAATTTTGGGATGTTCCAGGGGAGAGGGAGAGCCCAGTTCACCTGCCCCTCTTTTCCAGATGGGAAATGAACTCATAAGAGGCAAACTATGGTGCCAGTGCCACTTTTTAGCTTGATACTCCTGGGGAGATCTGTTTTTTTCAACATCCTGCTTTCTCCCTTTCCACACTGTGCCCAGAGCAGGCGAACCTAAACCGGGGTCCTAAACTTGGAGTCTGGATTGGACCCAAGAGAGGGGACTGGTGAATTTCCTGAAACTGAATGCAGGGTATTGAATGTGCAGCCTGCCCGCCACCCAAAAGAATGTGTAGGTTTTAGTGGATTCTTAGTAGGGTCATCACCCCTCTTCCCCAAAGAAAAACAGAACACAAAACGCTGATTTTTGAAAAAATGTCCCCAGATCTCATCGTAGGAGATAATTAATAATTAGAACAGAACACGCATTCTGAATTCACGTTTAGAACTTTTAGCTGGATGATTCTGCCATACAAGTGTGTACATTCATCTTAGGGCATTTGATTCTCACTGCAGCCTAGGGGGAGGACGGAGAGGCATAACTTTTGTACAGGAAGAGTCCAGGGGACAGGGGGTGACTTGCCAAGGTCCTACAGCCTATATTTGGGAGCAGAGATTTGCGACTAGGTCTCTCTAATTACAAAAGGGGTTCCCTGTCCTGTAAGGTTGTAGCTTCAAAGAGGAGCAACAGATAGGCCTATGGTCGCCAATTTCAGGGAAAGGAGGGGGCTGGGAGGGAATGAATTTGGTCAAGAGGGCGGGGAGGATGGTTTATGAAGGTCTGAACGAGAAATCTGCTCCTTTGAGGCCTTGGGGATGAAGCACTGAAGTCCCCAGGATCTGGAATGGGAAGAGGATCCCCGGGGTCCCCACTGATGGGTAAATGCAGCTCTCAGCACGTGGGCGGAGAGGAGAAAGAACCATTCCCTTTCTGTGGAGCCTGCTGGGAGGGCACCGAAGGCATTTTCAGGCAAATGCCTCTTAAACTCTGTTAAACTCTGGTGTTTTGCCCACGAGTTCTTCTTGCTGGACTTCCCAGGAGGTGCTCTGTAAATTCAGCTTGCGTGGGCGTTGGTTGACCCGCTCTGACTGTGTATCTGCCAGTCCCCAGCAGATACCTTACCAGCACTAGGGAAAACTGGCGCCATTTCTAAAGGTTCCACTTGCATCTCTGGGCTGGCTCCTTCTGGAGGATGGGAGCCTTGGGTGGGGTCCTGCGTGGTCCTTGACGCTGGGAAGTGGGACGGTTCCCACTCATTTCAGCTCCTAGCTTTTTCTCTGCTCCTCTGGAGTGCCTTAGGGGTCTCTCTGGGGCGGATGCCTGCGGAAGGTGCACAACCCCACCACCAAATTCCTGGCATCCCTGCCAGCGTCAGGACCTTCCCAGCTGGGGAGAGGGACTCGGAGCTGCTCAGAACCGCCTAAAAGCCAGGCATTCCCACCCCAAACTCCGGACTTTTAATTCAGAGCCGCCCTAATGAAATTAGGAGCCATTAGATCGCCCTCGCGTTGCTGTCTCCACACTGTCCCCAGCCGTCAAAGCAATTTGGCTAAGCCGGGCCGATGGCCCCGCCGGCCGGGGACTGTGGCGGCCAGCGGGGCCCTGCTGAGTCTCTCTGTCGCCACGCCGCCCCGGTTGGCGTCGCTATCGGCCGGGGAGGCGGCCGGGCCACGGCGGCCGGAGATTAGAGCCGCGCGGCCCGGGGTCGGGCAGCCGCGGGGCCTGAGAGTTCGTCGTCCCTCCCCCGCCCGGGCCGCGGCTCCCCTCCCCCAACTACCTCCACCCGCTTGGGGCCGGGCTCCCGGGTTGGTCGAAGAATCCTGCCCCAGGGTCATCAATGCAAATAATCAAAGTCACCGAGACAACCTCCGCAGCTCCCGGGAAAAGGCAGGCTAGATTTTCAGGCTGTTAGACGCAGCAATTCGCACGTTCGGTGGGGATGTATCAGAGCGTTTTGATAAATATTAGCGTTAAGAGCCTCCCGGGAGCATCAAAACCCAGTTCATCAGAACAACAAACCCGGTTTTATTGGTGAGGATGCTCATCTGTGACTAGCCCTGGCTCCAGCAAGAACATGCAGCCTGGTAGTCCTCCTCCTCCTTCTCTTCCTAATGATAACGGTGGTTGTAAAAATAACAGCACAACTACAGCAGTTAGGACCCCTCTTGTCCCTGGGAGCACCCCTAAATATGGGGAAGATAGGAAGTAGAAAGAGAATATTCCTGAAAAAGCAGATGTAGCCCTTCTGTTTGGGGTTAAGAGTGGAGATAATTCTGGTTATGGATCCTGAAACGTGATAAACCTGGAGAAAGGGAGTTTTAAAGGCAACCAGCCCCTTCTTTGAGGGGTGTTGGGGGTGCTTCCTCCCCACACCTTATGAGCTGACATCCTTAGAGGGCACATCACCTGCGCCCCCCCCCAAAATATCTTCTCTTTTCACTAACTCTACTTTGCTTGTTCTCCAAACAAAGGCCTCAGATTTGAGGTCTGATCACCCACCCTAAGCCTCAGAAAAAGGCTGTGCAGTGAACTGGTGACTTTTTTGTTTTATACATTTCAGTTTTTCCAAACACTTGGTATCTTCTCTTGCATCCCTTAGAGATTTGGGGAGTGGGGGTTATTTGCATGTTTGTTGTTTGTTTGTCCCCGTGCCCCCACACCACCCGTCAATCCAAAAGTGCCGTTCAGGCGTCCCTCCAGACGTGGATTCCTCGATCCAGACTTGCTCAGCTCCCGTTGGGGGTGGGAAGTACCCTATGCAGGGAGTTAATTTATTAAGCAAACTTTATTAAGAATTCTGATTTACTGCTCTGTGTGCCTTGGGTAGATTCCTGGAATATTACCCTGGCTTTTTCAGTTGGAAATTGTTATTTTTGAAATGTTTCTTTTTAATGAAATCCCTGGCCCCTTTTCAAAACAGAAGAAAAATACCTATTTTTCGAGAGCCAATATAACAAGGCGAATTTAGAGGGTGGGGAGCAGGGTTTTATCTGGAGACAAAGGGAGTTTTGATTTTCTTACAATCTCATTTTCTTTATTATTTTTAGATTATTCTAAATTCCATGCACAAATACCAGCCCAGATTACACATCGTGAAAGCGGATGAAAATAATGGATTTGGCTCAAAAAATACAGCGTTCTGCACTCACGTCTTTCCTGAGACAGCGTTTATAGCAGTGACTTCCTACCAGAACCACAAGGTAAGCGCGAAGCCCGGGAACCGGTGCCTGGGGCCATCTGCTCTTTCTTTTGCATGAATCTGCAAGGGTTTCCTGCTGGAACTTTGCTCCTCTGAATGGCAGCAGTCACCAACTTCGACCCCAGGATGCTGGCGTGGGGACAACGCTGCAGCCTAAGAGTTTCAGCTGTTTTTAGTATATCCACGGCTTGGCATGACAGTCACAACCACATGTATGCACCCACACCTGTTAGAAACAAACTTGTCAAACCAGAGATAGGCCACACACTCAAATGCCACAAGAAGGCATCCCACTGACCTTATGAAATGCCTAGTGGGAAGAAAGGTTGCTTATTGCATGGCTCTGGAGCTGCCGTTTCATTTCTGGGGCCATCATTTCTGCTGGGGTCAGTTTTCTCCTCTCCGCCTTTTTAATCTTTTTCCCTCCAAGACAAGGTCTCACTCTGTCACCCAGACTGGAGTGCAGTGGCACAATTATGGCTCACTGCAGCCTTGACTTCCCAGGCTCAAGAGATCCTCCTGCTCAGCCTCCAGAGTAACTGGGACTATAGGCACACACTATCATTATGCCCAGTCAATTTTTAACTTTTGTTTTTTGTAAAGACAGGGTCTCACTAGGTTGCCAGGACTGGTCTTGAACTCCTGGTCTCAAGCGATCCTCCCACATTGGTCTTCCAAATTGTTGGTATTACAGGCATGAGCCACTGCACCCAACTTTGCCACTCAACTGGCAACAGTGCAGGTGGCAAAGTTGCCGGGATCCTTAGGATTGGACTTTCCTGATGCTTCCCTAATTGTTTCAGAAATCACTGACTCCAGACTACATTCTTGAGCAAGGTTTGCCTTGTTAAAATGAAAACAGAGCAACCTGCGCCGCCAGCAGCTTGGGATAACATTCCTAGGACTTAGACAAGAGCCTGCAGAACCACAGCTTGGTGAGGGGAGGCACACCTGAACTGCTTGGGAGAAGGTGGCTGCAGTTTGGTGTCGGGGCGGTATGCTGCCTGCCGGATGGATTGTGTGAAAGTCAGACCCCGTGAGGTTCAAAATCCAGGCACTGGTTTCGGCATTTCAAAGCTTGACAACAACTTTGGAGCAGGCTGCCTATAGCGGCAGGTTGGAGGGTAGGGGGAGGATCTTCTCTTTTTCCTTAGGAGAAAGCTTGTCTCCACTTGTTAGGATTCACCTCTGTTCCTTAGATACCCAAGTGCTTGTGGATTCGTTTTATTGCGGGTGGCAGGAGGGATTTAATGTTTCCTAAGCCTTGTTATGAAAATATCTAAAATCTAGAGAGGCAAACAATAGGTGCTGGGGGAGGGGCACCTGCCCTCATGGGGTTGTAGACTGTTAGGAGTATTAAGCAGTGATTTGGGCTTAGAAGGCTGTGGGAGGGCAAGGTGGGAGGGGGGTCCATATGGGATCTGTGAGGGCAGGTCACCTAGATGGATTTGGGGGTGGTGCGCCCCTGCCCCCCAATGCCTCCTTCATAGTTCCTGTCCCCACCAGCAAGGCTGGAGTGGAGGGGGAACTGCAGGAGCTGGGAAACAGACAGGAGAGGCCAGAGAAGGGTGAGAGGCAGGCTTAGCACCCCAAATCCTCCCATCACCCCTCGAAGTTCATTCCAGTGCAGGCTGGCTTGGCAGAGAATGCCCCAACTGAGGCCGGGACTGTTCCAAAATGCTGTGGGTAATGTCCAAATCCAGATTGTCTGTGAACTGGCCAAGCTGTGATAGACAGTCCTTTCCAGGCCACAAGACCTGTCTGGGAACCCAGGTCGAGAGAGTTTCCTGCCCTTGCAAAGAAAACTCATTCCCCTCAACACACCATTCTTTTTTAAATGGGTAGGAGGATTTTTCTGAGTATACTTCCACTTGTTGAACCAGCAAGAGCAAAACTGAGGGTCGAATGCCCTGAAAGATGTAAAACTATTTCAGGCCAATCTGAGTCTGGCTGCTTGAAACCTGTTTCCCTCAATGGTTGCTGTAAACCTGTGTTTAGCTTTGTGGTGATGGTCCCAGGAAAAAAAAAATAGCAATAAGGAAACTCAATTCTTCCTCTATATGTATATACTTACATGCTCTCAAACCAGACAGGGGTCCAAAAATATATCATATCTTTCCCCTGTCTACCCCAAGAAAGCTCAGGTTCATACAGGAGAACAGGAAGGGGTAGACATATTAAAATGACCTGCTTAAAAAGCCATCTGAGTGCTCAGGTCCTTTGGAAGAAACACCCTAAATTCTGTGTGCTTATGCTTATGGTCTTAAGACTCATCAGGTGTGGATAGATGTGGGAAAACTCGCTCCCTCTCTCCTTCTCTCTGTTGATAGGCTTATTGAGGCATAATTGTCATCCAATAAACTGCCATATTTGAAATAGACAATTAGATAAGCTTCTTGTGTATATATATGTATACTTGTGAAACTGTCACTGCAACCATTTGTGAATATGCCCAATACCCTTTACATTTCTATTTAAAAAATGTCTTCCCAATGCACATATTTAGTGATTGATGTGCATGAATGCCTGCCTGCCCAATGGGGTATGTATGTGTGAATTTTTTTTTTTTTAGCACAATGTAGGGAATCATGTGTCTAAGAATGTGTGTCTTCAAATATGCATTTGGATATATGTGTATTTGATGGCCACACTAAGGGTTCACACACAATAATTGCTTTTCTTTTCTGTATTGATTGAGTCAGGGAGCCCAGTTGAGCTGTGCATAAAGGTCTGTTTAGCCAGCCTGACAGATTCCTTGACATCTGGGAGAGAAATTTCATGGAAGACAACCTTCTGTTTCCCTCCCCCACTTCTTACTTTAGAACACCAAAGACACCTATTTTCTTTTTCAGGAGCAAATCCAAAACTGTGCACTTTCCCAGTCAAGTGCAGGGCCCCTGCAAACATTTCCCACATGGATATATGATGTGTGATTTAAATAAGCGGGCCAGGGTTGCATGTGATTTGTGGACTCAGTCTTGCTACTTTATTGTCCCACCTGGACCGGGTGTTGAGACTTCTGACTTCATGGGTAGAAGCCAGCTGAGCTCACCATCGCATAGGGTTAAGGTGGATGACTGTGGAGGCTGACTGCTTTGGTTCAAACCTATTTGACTTTGGGCAAATGATTTAACTCCATTTCCCCACCTGTAAAATGGGGATAATAAGAGAACTCACCTCATAGGGTTGTTGTGAGGATTCAATGAGATAATTCCCGGCAAGCGTGTCATGCGGGACCTGGCAGAGAGCTAGCGCAGAGCATTAGTAATGATTGATGAGACCCTTGATTGACTAGTTAGCTGATCAGTTTATTAACAGGGTGATTCCATCTGAAACACAGACTTCAGAAAACTCTTTGCTTACTCATTCTAACTTCCTGGCTAGTTTAGAATCTGAAAGACTGGGAATTTAAATAAATTCTTATTCCTGTGGTTGAAAAACAACTGCAAATATTAGTCTTTGTGGTTTAGTTGGCTCATTCCCTGATCATGTCATCAATTCAAGGACTATTTGTCTAGCGTTTTGCCTTGGATAAATGAGCAGGGAAAGAAAAGCAATGCATGTGATTAAATTGCCAAGACAATTTGGAAAACTAAGGGCCACCGTTTTTACGGTCAAAGGGCCCATTGCCTTCAGAATGATCTTTCTCTACTTGGATGTAGGTACCAGGTGGAGATAGGTATGCTACAGGGTTCGTTTCTTAGGCTGCAATCACATACCCATACACCACAGGGCCCCTAATGACGAGACACATTTCCTCAGCCCAGCTGTGATCTCGGACTGGATTTGGGACTTATTTCCCCAGGTGGTTGACAGCTTGAAAAAGATATTTAAAAACTCAAATCTTCCCCAGCGACGTTCATTCTGTGAAACACGTTTTTGTAAAGTTTTCACTGCAGTTGTCAGCAGCTCCCAGGGCAATCCCTAGAAATATTTAGGTGTTAAAAAACGTCACGTGGGCATTTCATTTCCCTGTTCTTGCAACAATGGCTGTGTATGCAAGCAATGTCTATCCCCAGATATTAACTTAACTTTGCCATTAAAAGGCATTTTCCTCCTGCTTAAATCATTGTGTAAGGAGTCTATATTTATGAGGTATGAGCTTTCTGGTCGGGACCAGGAAATGAACCCTTAATAGAGAGACATAATTAAGATTTTTGGTCCTCGTGAGGGTTTTAAAAAATTTTTTTCAAAAGCAAGAATTCACAACAATTATTCTCATTAATTTTTACAACCTCTGTCTCAGTTGGAGCTGGTATTTATGTTTGTTTTTCCCCCACTCCCAAATCTCTCCCGGATATCCGGTTTTATGTTGATTTTGAAGGGAGTACATTTGCATGGTGAATAGAAGAAAGTTTTACCGAAGTCTTTTGGTGGAACTGGAAAATCCAGGTGTATCAGTTTGTGTGTCCACGATCTAACACACAGCATATTAGGAAGGGAATTTAATAAACATGGCTGTAGTATGTGAGTGGACAGATATTTTGACCTGCAGATAATGTATGTTGTATGTTGACATTTCTCAAGGGTAATTCTTAGGTCATATAGGCATCTATAATCAGTTTCCAAAAGAAGTTACATGTAAAGATCAACATACCTAAGTGAATATATAAGAAATGTGCTTGTCCTGTGCAATCATATTTTTGCAAGCTATGATGGTAAGCACAAGATTAGGAATAGCCAATCTGTTTGAGGTGTAAGGAATGGATTTGAGCAAAAGGTTTTTGCTGATAACATAAAATTCCCCCTTTTCTTCTTTCCTTGGGGCAATTTTTTGTTCTGAGTTCTCGGTGGACATCATGGACTGAGCACTAATTCTGATGCTCAGATCCTCGCTAAATGCTGGTATCACAGCCTCACCATCTTTGACATTTACTTCTGAGACTGGGATGGGGCAGGGTGGGGGGTGGGAGGAAAAGATGTCCTTCATCCACTTTTAAATGACCTACTTCTCCTTAACTTTTTGCAAGTCCATTAAAAGATGATTTATGGTCAACTGGGTGAAATTTCATTGTGATAAAGCCTGCATGAGAAAGAAAATCCCATTAGGTGTTGGGTGTTTAGACTCTTAAAATACAAGTGAATGCAGGAGTACACATCTTAAGATGACTTTCCAAAAGGATTTTATAGATTTTTCTACTCATTCAGAAGAGTCAAGAAAAAATCTGAAGCCAATCTGCTCACACCTGTAATCCCAGCATTTTGGCAGGTCAAGGCAGATGGCTCATTTGAGGCCAGGAGTTCAAGAGCAGCCTGGCCAACATGGTGAAACCCTGTCTGTACTGAAATACAAAAATTAGCCAGGTGTGGTGGCAGGCACCTGTAATCTCAGCTACTGGGAAGGCTGAGGCAGGAGAATCGCTTGAACCCAGGAGGCGGAGGTTGCAGTGAGCCGAGATCGCGCCACTGCACTCCAGCCTGGGCGACAGAGTGAGACTCTGTTTCAAAAAATAAAGAATAAATAAATAAATAATCTGAAAGCTAAAGGAATAGACACAGTTAAACAAAAATGGGCTGGGTGTGGTGGCTTACACCTGTAATCCTAACAATTTGGGAGGCCAAGGCTAGAGGATTGCTTGAGCCCAGGAGTTCAAGACCAGCCTGGGCAACATAGTGAGACTCTGTCTTTCTGAAAACCCCCCAAAAAAAAAAGGTTGGGGGAGGGAGAATGTGTACACACACACACACACACACACACACACACACACACACACGGATACTTTAAAAATATTTTAAAATAGACTTTAGGGTAGCCATAGCAGCTCATGCCTATAATCTCAGCACTTTAGAAGGCCAAGGCGGGAGGATCACTCGAGCTTGGGAGGTCAATGCTGTAGTGAGCTATGATCACTCCGCTGCACTCCAGTCTGGGTAACAGAGTGAGACCCTGTCTCAAAATAAATAAATAAATAAATAAATAAATAAATAAATACTTGGCTCAGCTGGGCATGGTAGCTCATGCCTGTAATCCCAACAGTTTGGGAGGCCGAGGCAGGCAGATCACCTGAGATCAGGAGTTTGAGACCAGCCTGGCCAACATGGTGAAACCCCTTCTCTACTAAAAATACAAAATTAGTCAGGCATGGTGGTAGGCACACGTAATCCCAACTACTTGGGAGGCTGAGACAAGAGAATTGCTTGAATCAAGGAGGCGGAGGTCACAGTGAGCCGAGATTGTGCCACTGTACTCCAGCCTGAGTGACAGAGTGAGACTCCATTTAAAAAAAAAACAAAAACAAAAACAAGCAAAAAACAAACAAACAAACAAACAAACAAAGAAAACCTGGCTGGGCACAGTGGCTCGGCCTGTAATCCCTGTACTTTGGGAGGCCGAGGCAGGAGGATTGCTTGAGCTCAGGAGTTCCAGACCAGCCTGAACAACATGGCGAAACCTCATCTCAACTGAAACTAAAAATAAAAATAAAAAAAATTAGCCCAGCATGGTGGTGCATGCCTGTGGTCCCAGCTGCTTGGGATACTAAGGCAGGAAGATTGCATGAGCTCAGGAGTTTGAGGCTGCAGTGAGCTATGTTTGCACTACAGCACTCCAGCCTGGGTGTTAGATTTAGGCCCCATATCCAAACAAAACAGCAAAACAAAAATGCTTCATTTTTTAGAGCAGTTGCAGGTTCACAGCAAAGTTGTGCGGAACATACCAAGATTTCCCCTATAGCTTCTCCCCACCACATGCACGGCCTCCCCCACCATGGACATCCTGCATCAGAGTGGAACATTTGTTGCAGTTGATGAGCCTACATTGACACATCATGATCACCCAGAGTGCATAGTTCACATTAGAGCCCACTCTTGATGTTGTACCTTCCATGGGTTTGGACAAATGCATAATGACGTGTATCCTCCTTTATAGTATTATAGGGAGTAGTTTCACAACCCTAAAAATCCTCTGGGCTCTGCCTATTCATCCCTCCCTCTTTCCAACCTGTGGCAACCACTGACCTTTTAACTGACTCCACAGTTTTGCCTTTTCTCGAATGTTGTATAGTTGGAATCATATATCTTACAATATTAATTGTATGTTTGTGTTTATGGTGAATACACATGGGTATACATACATAGAATAATTTTACTTTCAATGTAGAGTCTTGGGGTTAGAGGTAAACCTTGTAGGTCATCTCTTCCAGAAAGCAGAACAGACAAGAATTCCTCCTCTCTTCAAATGAAGAAATTAGAGGGTACATTCATTTATCAAGCATAGTTTCTTAAATCTGTAACCATACTACTGGGATAGACTCTAGATGATTTTTAGGGATACTTGAATATGATGAAATCACAGAGAAACTTTCTTTCTTTCTTTTTCTTTTCTTTTCTTTCTTTCTTTTTTTTTTTTTTTTTCTGAGATGGCGTTTTGCTCTGTTGCCCAAGCTGGAGTACAGTGGTGTGATCTCGGCTCACTGCAACTTCTGCCTCCTGGGTTCAAGTGATTCACCTGCCTTAGCCTCTGGAGTAGTTGGGATTACAGGAGCCTGCCACAATGCCTAGCTATTTATTTATTTGTTTGTATTTTTTGTAGAGATGGGGTTTCACCATGTTGGCCAGGCTGGTCTTGAACTTCTGACCTCAAGTTATCCACCCACCTTGGCTTCCCAAAGTGCTGGGATTACAAGCATGAGCCACCATGCCTGGCTGAAAGTTGTTCTTTTTAAAATTATCTTTCTAGTATTCTATTAGAGAGGGAATCTCAGTTCAGTACTGGTTTGTGTTAACTACTCTAAAAGTGTCTAATTCCCACTTGCAACAAAGAGAAGGCAAGCTTTGGGTATGAGTAGAGACAGTTTCATATGTTTGTTTTCTTCTTATTGAATAGCAAGTGATTCTAGTTTGTCATACAAAGAACTGACATCATATTTGTGTGAAATAAATGTAAATTAAAAGTGGTTTGACTTAAATAAAAATATTAAGCCAGTGTACAGGCACTGTATACATATGGCAATGATAGTGAAAGAAAACCCTGAATGACCGAAGTTTGAGTCATGCTGCTCTCATGTATATAGCATGATTCTCTATGCTCTCTATGAAAATTCAGTTCACATGCAATTTTTTAGGAAATATTTCTAGCAAACTCCATATGGATGCATTCTGTCACCTGGGTCTGCTACTGTACATTCACACTAATATAATGTGTTGATGGATTAAATTAAAGTTCTGGGCCTGGAACCAAAATGTGTAAAAAGACCTTGTTCTGTAACTACGCCTTGTATATTGCAACACAGATTTCCAAGATAGAACCCTTTCTTCTTTGCTTTGGACATTAAAGAGGTTTGGTGCTGTTTAGTAGCTATTATATATGTTATCATTATACATATTGGTGCTTATTTCATTAGACACCATTTTCCACCAGAGCTAGCAAATGCTATCTGCAAAACTATGAAATGAACATGAAAAGAGGCATAATAGAATTTTTGAATGCAATAATCAAGACACGTTTTCTGCAGAAACACACAATGGAGTCAACCCTTCCAAATGGAGGTTACCATGCTGCCGGATGTGCAACAGTCATGTCAGCATGCACAGCTTTCCAAAGGGGAGGGGATACTGAGTATTGAGGCCTAGATGGTGTTTAAAACACAAAATGCAAGATTGGAAAAAAAAAAAAAAAAAAAAAAAGAACCCGGCTGGAATAATGCAGAGTATGACTCCAATTAATGGGCAAACCAAATCCAGGTGTTTTTCCCCTTTTAAAAGCTGTCCAATGGAGGACATTTTTCAAAGCCTCCACTTGAATGAAGTGGTGGGTCCCGTTGACGTGACTGGCTTAATTTGCTTCTTTTGGTTGCCAGAGGCTGCATTTCCATGACATTTATTATTAGCTCATGTCCCGAGGTGGTCTTGCAGCAATCAAGTGAAAACCAGCTTGCTCTCTCTCCCTCTTTCCTTCAGATCACGCAATTAAAGATCGAGAATAATCCCTTTGCCAAAGGATTTCGGGGCAGTGATGACATGGAGCTGCACAGAATGTCAAGAATGCAAAGGTAGGAAAGTGGATTCCTCAACTTTCTCCTCCACACATACCCCTCAAATTACCCAGGTAAGCCAGCAGCAACCCAGCACCTCCCTCCACCAGCCTTCCTGCCCACAGAATGCCAGGCACAGAGAAATGGGGAGAATGAGCCCCTCTGTCCCATTTTTTGCTAACCCTCACGTGGTTGGCACCATTGGGCAACCTGGAGAATACATTTTCTAGTGGAGAGAAGGTACAAAGAGTTTGGCATTCTCCATTATCCCAGGGAATAGAAGGTACAGCTTTCTCTTCTTTCTCTGCTGTCTCTCTCCCTGTAGGGAAACCCTTTCTCTTTTTCTTCCCATAAGTCACAGCCGATGAATGCGTTTTTTTTTTTTTTTTTTTTTTTTTGGCAACAGCTCTTGGTAAATGAAAGAGAAGTTAATGACTTGATTTCCTGAGGGTGAAATACAGACAAACTTGACACCATGTGGTGTCCAGGGCACTGGAGGATTGGAAGCTGGTGCTAAAAATTGCTCGGTATTTTTACATATCCTGTGGTCATAGTTGCTGATATGATGAATAGAACGGGCTGTAGCAAATGTACATAGTGGGAATTTGGTCTGATTTGAAAGGATTGTACAAGCATTGCCAATTTTGTGGAACATTCTCTCTACCTCTTGATGTGCTTCCAAAATAACTTACCATATGGCAAGCGAATTAGAAATACATCTTGATCCCTCCGATCAAGAAGGTTTGTGTGTGTGTTGTGTGTGTGTGTGTGTGTGTGTGTGTGTGTGTGTGTTTTCTCTTTTTTCTGTTTGGTGGGTTTAGTATTTCAAAATAAAATGAGATCATTTCGGATGTTTTCCTTATCCATTCTGGAAGACATGGAAAGGGAGAGTCAGGCAGAGAGACAGATATATTCATCCCAAGAAAGATAAGAGACCTATAAGAACAGAAAGGGAGAAAGACCTTAGATCTATGGTTTTAATATGAGGTTTAGAAATACATGCAATGGAAAAATTGTTTTTAGATAGTGGGCTTATCAGGTCAAATTTTGCATGCTTTTTAAAAAATAATGCTAGTCCAGGTGGCATGTTCCTGTAACCCCAGCTACTCAGAAGGCTGAGGCAGGAGGATCTCTTGAACCCAGGAATTCGAGGCTGCAGTGAGCTACAATCACACTACTGCACTGCAGTCAGGACAACATAGCAAGACCCTGTCTCTAAATATTTAAAAAAAAAAGACAGTGACCCTGTTTCCAAATGTTAAAGAAAACAAGAAGTGTGGTACATGTGTGCACATGTTCCTGTTTTCATAAATTGGTTTCCTATGGATTCCTGTTTGTATAAATGGGTTTCCTTCAAGATTGTGGACTCACAAGGTACTTTTTGTGGCTAAAATAGGCGAGTTCTGAGTTTGCTATTTAAAATTTATTTTTTGTTTTAAGCATCTACATTTTGAAATTGGGTCATAGGGTCAGTGGAAAAGATGACAACAAATACCGTGTTGTAGCTGAGAGAGGTTCAATTATTCATGACCCTGGGCTCAGAGTGCCAACTTTTTGTTCCTATCCCATTCTGATGGTGATTTGCCATTAAGGTAGCTTAGTCATTGCCAAACAGAGTCACCTCTCAGACCTACAGGCCAAGTTCCCGCTGTGCAGTTGGGAGCTGAAGGGAAATCGCCTTTCCAGCCGGCAATCAAAGGGTTTCATCATCTCTCACTGCTTCCCTCCTTTTTACAAGGTCAAGAGCAGGGGTTGAATAATAGATTTAAGGTGTCTTGAATCATCCCTTCAAACTTTACCAGTTACCATGTCCTACTGATCATACCTTCTAGCATAACTCAGAATTCAGCCCTCTTCTGCCAGTATGCTAACTCTAGCCGCCACCAGCCTCCTAACTGATTGAGACCTAAATTCAGTCCTTGTCTCCTCCAGGGACTTTCTTTAGGCAGGCACCAAAGAGATCTTCGTAAAACACAAATCAGGCAAGGTCTCTTTGCAGTGGAGAACATGTCCAAGCCCCCTGTTGCCCTTGGTATAAGGTTTGGACTCTTGCCTGGTTGGCCATGCCCTTCCCATCTGGCCTGGCCACCCCTCCTAGGTTTGTCCTTCACCAGTGTCCCCCTAATATGTGTCAATCATGCTAAAGGAAAGGCTTCAAACTTGTGTTCTTTCCTTTATTTTTGGCCCTTCGAACACACATTTGGTCTGCGTCAAACCCTTTCCCCTCCTTCTCACCAGGCCATCTCTGGGTCTCCTTGTAGAACCATCACTGGGCCTCCTTGTAGCTTTTCCTTCCTCCAAGAAGCTTTCCCTGGCCACAGACTGTGTGCTCAGCCCATGTCTCCCGCCAGGACCCCTCCTGGGAATCAGCCACTCAAACTTTACCAGTTGCCCTCCAGGCTTTTCTGTGTCTAACTCAGGCCCGGAACTTTGGAAGCTGATTGGACGGATGACAGCCGGCCATAAAAGGAGAGACAAGCGGGCATGTGTAGGTACGTGAGAGCTCAGATGTCAGTCATTAAGGGAGTCTTTCCTAAAGCTTTTTTTTTTTTTTTTTTTTGAAATAGGATTTCACTCGGTTGCTCAGGCTCGAGTGCAGTGGCATAATCTCAGCTCACTGCAGCCCCGACATCCACAGGTTCAGGTGATCCTTCCACCTCCCAAGAACCTAGGACTGCAGGCATGCGCTGCTGTGCCCAGCTAAATTTGTTTGTTTTTATTTTATTATTATTAGTTTTGTGCGACGGAGTCTCCCTCTGTCACCCAGGCTGGAGTGCAGTGGCACGATCTCCACTCACTCCAACCTTGGCCTCCTGGGTTCAAGAGATTCTCCTCCCTCAGCCTCCTGAATAGCTGGGATTACAGGCGTTTACCACCATGCCTGGCTAATTTTTGTGTTTTAGTAGACACGGGGTTTCACCGTGTTGGCCAGGCTGGTCTCGAACTCCAGACCTCAGGCAATCCACCCACCTTGGCCTCCTAAAGTGCTGGAATTACAGGCATGAGCCACCATGTCTGGCCTAAATTTGTATTTTTTGTAGAGACAAGGTTTCACCACGCTGCCCAGGCTGGCCTAGAACCCCTGGACTGAAGTGATCTTCTTGCCTCAGCCTCCCAAAGTGCTGGGATTACAGACATTATCCACAGCCCCTGGCCAACTCTCCTAAAGTTCTAAACACATGTTCATTTTGTTTGTTTACTTACTTCTTGATTGATTGATTGATTGATATTGAGACAGGGCCTCGCTCTGTTGCCCAGGCTGGAGGGCAGCGGTTCGATCACGGCTCACTGCAGCCTCAACCTTCTAGGCTTAAGTGATCCTCTGACTTCAACCTCCCAAGGAGCTGAGTGTCCAGGTACATGCCACCACATCCAGCTAATTTTTGTATTTTTTGTAGAGGTAGGATCTCCCCAGGTTGCCCAGGCTGGTCACACAGCTGTTTATATATTTAGGCAGATGACTCCTCTTTGGCCTGCCTTGGCTGTCCTAACCATCCGTCAAGGTATTGCAGATCGCTTGAGGCCTGGACTAGGTGTCCTTAATGGGTAGGAACTTTGCAGATGGAATGGAGGAAAGGTTTGGCTAGTCATCAGTAGAAAGCCAGTAATTGACACGTTGAGTCAAACCACTTAGCCTAAGAGCCATGTATGTCTTTGTGGCCATGTTAGGAAACCAGAGGGCTGAACTAACCACTGATGGGTTGGGGGAGTAGACGAGGTCATTGGCCAAGGTCTCTGGACATGTCCTTGGGGAAGGAGAAAGAGTGAAGAAGAGTGGTTCCAACAGAGGGCTTTGGAGTCAGAAAAACCTGGGGTCAATTCTTGCTCTGCATTTATCAGTATGTGCCCTGGAGTAAGTGATTTAACCTCATGGAACCTCAGTATTCTCACCTGCAGAAGGGGCATAGATAAGTATAGCCTCTACTTTCTAGGGTTCCTGTAAAAATTATATGAGCAAAGGCCTACAGAGTGCTTGATTCCTAGTCTAATATTCAGTAGAATTTAACTAATTTGGGGGAAAACTCCCCACTACTCCCAATTTTGCCCTTGTTCAGAATTTATTTTGAGTCATTTTCCCACCCCCCAGGTTACAGTCAGTAGTGGCAAGTGGGGAATATGACTCTCCAGAGTCAGCCTTGATAACAGCCAGGCAGGAATGGCAGGCTCACTGCTAATCTTGTAATCCTGTTTCCTGTCCCCTACACACCCGGTGACAGCTGGCTATGGGAGAAAAGCAGGAGGGATGAAATTTCCTCTAATTCCAACAATTGGAAGAAGGGAGTGCGGTGGGGTTATAGATAGTTAAACATTACCTTGCACTTATTCCACAGAAATAACTTTTGGATTCGCTTGGCAAATGTCTGGCGGTTCCCGCCTCTAGCTCTTGGCCCAATTCCCTGTGTTTGGAAAACGCAGATGATGTCTTCATTATTTTCCAACATTTTTTAATGGTTTCTAGTTACAGGAGCAATCACTGCTTATTATAAAAATTTGGGAGCTATGGGAAAGCACAAGGCATAAAATCTTTTAAACATCCTGTCTCAGGCAGACCAGTTAAAGGGTGTGCCAATGTTATTTAGAAAAGTTAATCAATCTGTGGCTTAAAATATATATATAATCCTAAAAACTAATATTTCCCCAAATTTCAGTATCCTTAGATTGGTGACAAAGGATTTTTTAAAATAAAAACTATTTATTTATTTATGTGGGACAAGATCTTTCCCTGTCACCCAGGCTGGCATGCAGTGGCACAATCATAGCTCACTGCAGCCTCAAACTCCTGAGCTCCAGCAATCCTCCTGCCTTAGCATCTGAAGTAGCTGGACTACAGGTGCATACCACCATGCCCAGCGATGCAGTCTCTCTATGTTGCCCAGGTTTGTTTCAAACTCCTCGTCTCAAGCAGTCCTCATGTCTTGGCCTTCTAAAACACGGGAATTACAGGTTTTAGATGGTACACAGACCCATGGACACATGAGGCCTGTGATTTCATAGACGTTATTGCTCAGAATGAGACT